ATTTCAGGGTTGGGGGATGGGTGCCAGGTCTGCTGTACCCCCCCCCAAAATGCACACACGCTCTGCTGAGGCCGTCACCTTGGTGTCTGGGCTGCTTCTTCAACACCCCCCCACCCCATGGAGTGCCCATCAGCACGGCCTCTGGCCTCCTCAGCCCACCCAGAAGGGGGCCCAGCATCTCAGCATCTGGGCTTCTGCCACCAGACCACCCATGAGGGTGCCCTTCATCCTTGCATCTGGGCTCCTGCACCCATCCCTTGGTTGCCCATGACCATGGTCTTTGGCCACCTGCACCCACCCTTCAGTTGCCCATCCCCTTGGTGTCTGGCTACCTGCACCCACCCCTCGGTTGCCTATCACCCTGGTCTTTGGCCACCTGCACCACCCTCTCAGTTGCCCATCACCCCCATATCTGACCTCCTGCACCCACCCCTCAGTTGCCCATCGCCCTGGTCTTTGGCCACCTGTGCCCACCCCTTGGTTGCCCATGACCATGGTCTTTGACCACCTGCACCCACCCTTCTGTTGCCCATCCCCTTGGTGTCTGGGCTCTTGCACCCATGCTTCAGTTGACCATCACCCCTGTGTCTGGGCTCCTGTACCCACCCCTTAGTTGCCCATCACCTTGGTCTTTGGCCACCTGCACCCACCCTTCAGTTGCCCATCGCCCTGGTGTCTGGGCTCCCACCCTTGAGAGTGCCCATCAGCCCCATGACCTCCTGCACCCACCCCTCAGGTGCCCATCGCCGTGGTCTTTGGCCACCTGCACCCACCCTTCAGTTGCCCATCACCCCGGCATCTGGGCTCCCACCCATGACACTGCCCACCATCCTCATGTCTGACCTCCTGCATCCACCCCTTGGTTGCCCATCACCCTGGTCTTTGGCCACCTGCACCCACCTCACAGTTGCCCATCACTCTGGCATCTAGGCTCCCACCCATTAGAGTGCCCATCACCCCCGTGTCTGACCTCCTGCACCTACCCCTTGGTTGCCCATCACCCTGGTCTTTGGCCACCTGCACCCACCCCTTGGTTGCCTATCATCTTGGCCTCTGGCCACCTGCGCCCACCCTTCAGTTGCCCATCACCTCTGTGTCTGGGCTCCTGCACCCACCCTTCAGTTGCCCATCCCCTTGGCATCTGGGTTCCTTCACCCACCCCTTGGTTGCCCATCGCCCTGGTCTTTGGCCACCTGTGCCTACCCCTTGGTTGCCCATGACCATGGTCTTTGACCACCTGCACCCACCCTTCTGTTGCCCATCCCCTTGGTGTCTGACCTCCTGCACCCATCTCTTGGTTGCCTATCGCCCTGGTCTTTGACCACCTGCACCCACCCCTTGGTTGCCCATCACCCTGCTCTTTGGTCACCTGCATCCACCTCTTGGTTGCCCATCCCCTTGGCCTCTGGCCACCTGCAATGCCCCTCAGTTGTCCATCCCCTTGGTGTCTGGCCACCTGCACCAACCTCACAGTTGCCCATCACCCTGGCATCTGGGCTCCCACCCTTGAGAGTGCCCATCAGCCTTGTCTTTGGCCACCTGCACCCACCTCTTGGTTGCCCATCCCCTTGGTGTCTGGCCTCCTGCACCCATCTCTTGGTTGCCCATCGCCCTGGTGTCTGGGCTCCCACCCTTGAGAGTGCCCATCAGCCCCATGACCTCCTGCACCCACCCCTCAGGTGCCCATCGCCGTGGTCTTTGGCCACCTGCACCCACCCTTCAGTTGCCCATCACCCCGGCATCTGGGCTCCCACCCATGACACTGCCCACCATCCTCATGTCTGACCTCCTGCATCCACCCCTTGGTTGCCCATCACCCTGGTCTTTGGCCACCTGCACCCACCTCACAGTTGCCCATCACTCTGGCATCTAGGCTCCCACCCATTAGAGTGCCCATCACCCCCGTGTCTGACCTCCTGCACCTACCCCTTGGTTGCCCATCACCCTGGTCTTTGGCCACCTGCACCCACCCCTTGGTTGCCCATCACCTTACTCTTTGGCCACCTGTGCCCACCTCTTGGTTGCCCATCACCCTGGTCATTGGCCATCTGCACCCACTCCTTGGTTGCCCATCCCCTTGGTGTCTGGCCTCCTGCACCCATCTCTTGGTTGCCCATCGCCCTGGTCTTTGGCCACCTGCACCCACCCCTCAGTTGCCCATCACCCCGGCATCTGGGCTCCCACCCATGACACTGCCCACCATCCTCATGTCTGACCTCCTGCATCCCCCCCTTGGTTGCCCATCCCATTGGCCTCTGGCCACCTACACCCACCCCATGGTTGCCCATCCCCTTGGTGTCTGACCTCCTGCACCCATCTCTTGGTTGCCTATCGCCCTGGTCTTTGACCACCTGCACCCACCCCTTGGTTGCCCATCACCCTGCTCTTTGGTCACCTGCATCCACCTCTTGGTTGCCCATCCCCTTGGCCTCTGGCCACCTGCAATGCCCCTCAGTTGTCCATCCCCTTGGTGTCTGGCCACCTGCACCAACCTCACAGTTGCCCATCACCCTGGCATCTGGGCTCCCACCCTTGAGAGTGCCCATCACCCTGGTCTTTGGCCACCTGCACCCACCCCTTGGTTGCCCATTTCCTTGGTGTCTGGCCACCTGCACCCACCCTTCAGTTGCCCATCACCCTGACATCTGGGCTCCCACCCATGACACTGCCCACCATCCTCATGTCTTACCTCCTGCACCCACCCCTTGGTTGCCCATCCCCTTGGTCTCTAGCCACCTTCACCCCCATCTATCTCAGTTGCCCACCACCACCCCACCCTTGGGTTGTCCCCCCCGGTGGTGGCACCTCGGTGAAGTGGACGTCCTGGGTGGCAGCCAGGCGGAAGCCGCACCTGCACCCACCCTTCAGTTGCCCATCCCCTTGGCATCTGGGTTCCTTCACCCACCCCTTGGTTGCCCATCGCCCTGGTCTTTGGCCATCTGCACCCACCCCTTGGTTGCCCATCCCCTTGGTGTCTGACCTCCTGCACCCATCTCTTGGTTGCCTATCGCCCTGGTCTTTGACCACCTGCACCCACCCCTTGGTTGCCCATCACCCTGCTCTTTGGTCACCTGCATCCACCTCTTGGTTGCCCATCCCCTTGGCCTCTGGCCACCTGCAATGCCCCTCAGTTGTCCATCCCCTTGGTGTCTGGCCACCTGCACCAACCTCACAGTTGCCCATCACCCTGGCATCTGGGCTCCCACCCTTGAGAGTGCCCATCACCCTGGTCTTTGGCCACCTGCACCCACCCCTTGGTTGCCCATTTCCTTGGTGTCTGGCCACCTGCACCCACCCTTCAGTTGCCCATCACCCTGACATCTGGGCTCCCACCCATGACACTGCCCACCATCCTCATGTCTTACCTCCTGCACCCACCCCTTGGTTGCCCATCCCCTTGGTCTCTAGCCACCTTCACCCCCATCTATCTCAGTTGCCCACCACCACCCCACCCTTGGGTTGTCCCCCCCGGTGGTGGCACCTCGGTGAAGTGGACGTCCTGGGTGGCAGCCAGGCGGAAGCCGCGCTGGGCGCTCTCGTGGCGCAGTAGCCGCGTGGCCAGCGCGTAGGCCAACCGCAGGTCGCTGCCGAAGTAGGTGGCCGTGTGGCCAGTGGCCTCCTGCAGCTGCAGGGCCACGCGCCGCGACTGCGCCGGGTCCAGCACCGACTCGTTCCTCGCCAACCGCTCCGCCTGCCCCATGGGGATGATGGTGGTGGCATCAGGGGTGGGGGGGACACGGTGGGGTGACACTTGTGTGTCCCCCTCCCCCGTGTCCCCCCCACCCAACACTCACCCAACGGCGCAGGGGGGCGAAGGCCAGGGAGCTGCAGTTGAAGAGGTTGGGGGGCAACCAGCCCTTGTGCTCGTCACAGTGTCGCACCGCCGTGCCTGGGGGGGACACAACCATGGGGACACCATCCTGGCACCACCACGGCTCAGTGGTGGCACCACCGTCTCGTCCCACCCCATCTCCATGCGCCCACTTCACCCACCCGTTGGTTGCCCATCGCCCTGGTCTTTGGCCACCTGCGCCCACCCCTTGGTTGCCCATCACCGTGACCTCTTCCCACCCCACCCCTGGCTTGTCCCCCCCGGTGGTGGCACCTCTGTGAAGTGGACGTCCTGGGTGGCAGCCAGACGGAAGCCCCGCTGGGCGCTCTCGTGGCGCAGTAGCCGCGTGGCCAGCGCGTAGACCAACCGCAGGTCGCTGCCGAAGTAGGTGGCCGTGTGGCCAGTGGCCTCCTGCAGCTGCAGGGCCACGCGCCGCGACTGCGCCGGGTCCAGCACCGACTCGTTCCTCGCCAACCGCTCCGCCTGCCCCATGGGGATGATGGTGGTGGCATCAGGGGTGGGGGGGACACGGTGGGGTGACACTTGTGTGTCCCCCTCCCCCGTGTCCCCCCCACCCAACACTCACCCAACGGCGCAGGGGGGCGAAGGCCAGGGAGCTGCAGTTGAAGAGGTTGGGGGGCAACCAGCCCTTGTGCTCGTCACAGTGTCGCACCGCCGTGCCTGGGGGGGACACAACCATGGGGACACCATCCTGGCACCACCACGGCTCAGTGGTGGCACCACCGTCTCGTCCCACCCCATCTCCATGCGCCCACGGTGTCACCACCATGCTCCATCTCAGCAGTGACACCGTGGTGTCACCAGCCCTGCCCCAGCTCGGTGGTGGCACCACCATCTCATCCCACCCCATGTCCACGTGTGTCACCACCCCTGCCCTGGCTCAGTGGTGGCACCACCATCTCATCCCACCCCATGTCCACGTGTGTCACCACCCCTGCCCTGGCTCAATGGTGGCACCACCATCTCATCCCACCCCATCTCCATGCGCCCATGGTGTCACCCCCCTGCCCCATCCCACCTCTGCCACCACCATGTCACCCCCCCTGCTCCATCTCAGCAGTGACACTGTGGTGTCAACACCCCTGCCCCATCTCAGTGGTGGCACCACCGTCTCATCCCACCCCAGGTCCATGTGCCCACAGTGTCACCCCCTGTCCCATCTCAGCAGTGACACCGTGGTGTCACCACCTCTGCTCTGGCCCTGGCGGTGACACCACTGGGTGACCCCCAAATCCCATCCCATGGTGCCACCACCATGTCACCCCCCTGCCCTGGCCCCGTGGTAGCACCGTTGTGTCACCACCCCAGCTCGGTGGTGGCACCAGCGTCTCATCCCACTTCATCTCCATGCACCCACGGTGTCACCTCCCCCTGCCCCATCCCACCTTTGGCACGACCATCACAGACCCCCACACCCAGGGACCCCTGCACCCACAGACCCCAGTACCCACGGACCCCCAAGACCCATGGACCCCAGTACCCACAAGACCCCCCACACCCATGGACCCCGGCACCCCATGTGCCAGGCACACACACGTCCCCAGGCACACACACGTGTCCCCCGCACACTCATGTCCTCATGCACATGCATGTCCTCGTGCACACACATGTCCCCAGCACATCCATGTCCATGTCCTCAGGCACACACATGTCGCCAGACACACACACCTCCATGTCCCCAGACACACACACATCCCCAGGCAACTCAGTGGTGGCACCAGTGTCTCATCCCACCCCATCTCCCTGCGCCCATGGTGTCACCCCCTGCCCCATCCCACCTCTGCCACCACCATGTCACCCCCCTGCTCCATCTTAACAGTGCCACCACGGTGTCACCACCCCTGCCCCAGCTCGGTGGTGGCACCAGTGTCTCATGCCACCCCATCTCCATGCACCCATGGTGTCACCCCCCTGTCTCATCCCACCTCTGCCACCACCATGTCAACCCCTACCCATCTCAGCAGTGACACCGTGGTGTCACCAGCCCTGCCCCAGCTCGGTGGTGGCACCACCATCTCATCCCACCCCAGCTCCATGTGCCCATGGTGTCACCACCATGCTCCATCTCAGCAGTGACACCACGGTGTCACCACCCCTGCTCTGGCCCTGGCGGTGACACCACCATGTCCCCTGGGCACACACAAGTCCATGTCCATGTCCCCTGGCACACACACATCCCCTGCACACTCATGTCCCCTGTGCACACCCATGTCCTTGTGCACATCCATGTCCCCAGGCACACACACATCCTCATGCACACTCATGTCCTCATGCACACGCATGTCCTTGTGCACACGCCTGTCCCCAGCACATTCATGTCCATGTCCCCAGGCACACATATGTCCCCTGGCCACACACATCTCCATGTCCCCCGGCACATACACATGTCCCCAGACACACACACGTCCCCCGCACACCCGTGTCCTCCTGCACACGCCTGTCCCCAGCACATCCATGCCCATGTCCCCAGGCACACAGACATCCCCAGACACACACACATCCCCCACACACTCATGTCCTCATGCACACGTATGTCCTCGTGCACACACATGTCCCCAGCACATCCATGCTCATGTCCCCAGGCACACACACACGTCCTCTAGACACAAACACGTCCCCCACACACTCATGTCCTCATGCACACCCATGTCCTCGTGCACACACATGTCCCCAGTACATCCATGTCTGCACACACGTATGTCCCCTGAGCACACACATGTCCCCTGGGCACACACATCTCCATGTCCCCAGGCACACACATGTCCCCTGGGCACACACAAGTCCATATCCCCAGGCACACACATGTCCTTGTGCACACCCATGTCCTCATGCACACGCCTGTCCCCAGCACATCCATGTCCATGTCCTCAGACACACACATGTCCCCTGCACACTCATGTCCTCATGCACATGCATGTCCTTGTGCACACGCATGTCCCCAGCACATCCATGTCCATGTCCCCAGGCACACATATGTCCCCTGGCCACACACATGGCCATGTCCCCAGGCACACACACACGTCCCTCCCATCCCACCTCTGCCACCACCATGTCACCCCCTTGTCCTGGCCCAACCCTGCTCCATCTCAGCAGTGACACCGTGGTGTCACCTCCCCCTGCCCCATCCCACCTCTGCCACCACCATGTCACCCCCAGCCCTGTCCCAGTGATGCCACCACGGTGTCACCCCTCCATCCCATCCCAGCAGTGCCACCACGGCATCACACCCCCCATGAGCTCCGTGCCAGCAGTGCCACCACGGTGTCACCACCCCTGTCCCAGCGGTGCCACCACACTGTCATGTCCCCCCGTCTCAGTGGTGCCACCACGGTGTCACCCCCCGTCCCCGTGTCCCCCCACCTACCGACGGACCCCTTGGGGCAGGGGGCAGCGGCGGGCAACCCGAAGCGGGTGCGGGGCCACCAAATGTTGGCCTCGATGGCACGGGGACAGCTGTCGTAGTTGACTGCGGGGCAAAGAGGGGTGTCAGGAGGGGGTGACAGAGGGTGACAGCAGTGACACCCGGTCGCTGGCACCCAGGGTGATGCAGGGTGACAGCGGAGTGACAATGGGGTGACAGTGGGGTGACAGCAATGGTACTCAGTTATGGGCACCCAGGGTGACAGTGGTGACACCCAGTCGCTGGCACCCAGGGTGATGCAGGGTGACAGCGGAGTGACAATGGGGTGACAGTGGGGGGACAGCAATGGTACTCAGTTATGGGCACCCAGGGTGACAGTGGTGACACCCATCACTGGCACCCAGGGTGATGCAGGGTGACAGAGGGTGACAGGGGGGTGACAGGGGGGTGACAATGGGGTGACAGCGGGGTGACAGCAGTGCCACCCAGTCGCTGGCACCCAGGTTGATGTGGAGTGACAGGGGGTGACATAGGGTGACACCAGCGGGGTGACAGAAGGTGCCAGCAGGGTGACAGCAGTGGCACCCAGTCGCTGGCAGCCAGGGTGACGTGGGGTGACAGAGGGTGACGGGGGAGGGTGACAGAGGGTGACGGGGAGTGACAGAGGGTGTCAGGGGGGTGACAGTGGGGTGACAGCGGTGGCACCCAGTCGCTGGCACCCAGGGTGATGTGGGGTGACAGAGGGTGACACCAGCGGGGTGACAGCGGGGTGCCAGAGGGTGATGGGGGGTGACAGAGGGTGACAGTGGGGTGACAGTGGTGGCACCCAGTTGCTGGCAGCCGGGGTGATGTGGGGTGACAGAGGGTGACAGTAGTGACATCCAGTCGCTGGGACCCAGGGTGAGGCAGGGTGACAGAGGGTGACACCAGCGGGGTGACAGCGGGGTGCCAGAGGGTGATGGGGGGTGACAGAGGGTGACAGTGGGGTGACAGTGGTGGCACCCAGTTGCTGGCAGCCGGGGTGATGTGGGGTGACAGAGGGTGACAGTAGTGACATCCAGTCGCTGGGACCCAGGGTGAGGCAGGGTGACAGAGGGTGACACCAGCGAGGTGACAGAGGGTGATGGGGGGTGACAGCGGGGTGACAGCGGTGGCACCCAGTTGCTAGCACCCGGGGTGACATGGGGTGACAGAGGGTGACAGTAGTGCCACCCAGTCGCTGGGACCCAGGGTGAGGCAGGGTGACAGGGGGTGACACCAGTGGGGTGACAGAGGGTGACAGAGGGTGATGGGGGTGACAGCAGAGTGGCAGCAGTGACATCCAGACACTGGCACCCAGGGTGAGGCGGGGTGACAGGGGGTGACAGAGGGTGACACCAGTGGGGTGACAAAGGGTGCCAGCAGGGTGACAGCAGTGCCACCCAGTTGCTGGCACCCAGGGTGAGGTGGGGTGACAGAGGGTGACAGAGGGTGACAGAGGGTGATGAGGGGGTGACAGAGGGTGACACCAGCAGGGTGACAGAGGGTGCCAGCAGGGCGACAGCAGTGACACCCAGTCGATGGCACCCAGGATGACGTGGGGTGACAGAGGGTGACGGGGGGTGACAGAGGGGGATGAGG